TTGGTCAAACTGTCTATTCATTTTGTTCTCACCTTGACATGCTAAAAAAATAATAAATAAAAAAAAATTACTCCCCAACCTGTTTAGTATTATTGAATGCATTAATTTTCATAAGGAAATACATACGGGTATTATTTTTTCTGACATATTATTCTAAGTGTTCAGGGAAAAAATCATATGTCATCAAATTACTCTTAGGTACTTAAAATTGGATACCTTTCATACCGGATTATTATCAATTATGATGTACAGATCTAGTTTCAACTTCTGTTTTATGGAAGTTCATAACCATTTGTTTGGTCTTTACAATATCGAACACACATTCAATTTTAGCTGTGTATTGACTGTCATTATCATTCTTGATAAGACCTAGCATTGCAGTATCATCAGCAAATTAAACCCCTAGACCGTCTGGATGGCTGGACCTGTAGTTTGATGTCAACACCAGCCACGACTGATCTTTGCGGTGCACCAGTTTTGCTGACTTGTATACACACTGAGATCTGACGTAATTGTTCAATTTTAAATATTGATTCTTAAGGAAATCAAATACAAGACCAGCTAATTGATTTGGTACATTCATGTTTAACAACTTATAAATAAGCAGCTGTGGTTACATAGTCTGGAACGCCGAAGAAAGGTCATAATACATTATCCTAGCATTATTACCATGCTTAGTACCCTATAGATGTGAATAAAATTTATCGACTGCATTTTAACACAGGATCTACAGTGCTACAGTTTTTCACATAAGCAAATTGGAATCTTTGGTATACGTTAAAAATAAATAAAATTATGTACAGCATTAACACCTTATAATATATTCTTATTATTTTCAGTAAAGTCATTTTCAACTTTACGTTTATGCTCTTTTCTTGCTCTTTTTTTAAAATTATTTCCATGCATTTGTTCTCGCCATTATTAAGTAACTTCCTTTTCTCATTAAGTACAGCATATTGTAACATCACATTTAATCCAGAGTTTTGTGTAATTGGGGTTCACGATGTTGATAACCGTTAGAGAATGATTTAAATTCAAGGGCACGGGAAATGAATCCAACCCCTAGATCAGACAAGTTCTATCTGGCAATCAAAAAGGAAATGTAAATTAAACGATCAAACTCAATCTGTCAAAGACTATCCTCCAAACCAATCGTTAGTCTATTTCGGTAGTAGATTGTTGAAGAGAAATCGATCAGTGGAACAGACTTGTTGAGCGGGAAGAATGGCAAACCCATCATAGCCCCGTAGAGTCTGGTCCAAACGCCATAAGAAAAAGAGATGGGCACTCCTGAAAGTTAGCCCAGAGCTTTAGGCTCGACAGTTATCATATAAACTGCCTTTTTTGCCACAATCAGTTCAACACTGCACATTCACACATTTTTTTACAGGAACGGTAAACTTCTATATGATTTTTAAAAGAAAAACATCGGTCCCAGGGGTGGCACCAGAATTTGCCCGACAGGGAGGGGGAAAGGTCCCCGACGAGGGGCAAGATTTCCCCAACGAAAGCAAAGTGGGCGTGGTCGAGCTTCGATTAAAAGGTATCGAAAGTGGTCCAGGGGTCGAAACCCCCAAATATTTTCACAATTTAGGAGTGTCAAAGGCTTATTTAGGCCTAATCGATTTTAGAGTCTACTAATATGTAGAAAATACATATATTTTTTTTTTCTCCTCGACGAATTGTACTTTTTCTCACCGACGGGAGAGCCAGCTCTCCCCGACCGGGGCCCTGGCCCCCGCCCCCCCCTTCCTGGCGCCACCCCTGATTGACTCCAAACCTATTCACCCTGTTTTACATCTATTATATAAAATATATACAATTTCAATAAGAAATAATTCTAAATACGTTTAGGGAAAACTCAGTGTCCAGATGGGATCAAAAACTGCACTCACCTACGGTCCAATGTTGAAGTCTTGAGGACACAGAATTGGAAAGAGTGAAAATGTTCTACTGAAAATGTTAACCAATCTGCCACCGTGTTAGTTTTATGTGGTGTACGGCAGTGTTTCATATGTATTGCTTGCGAAACTCCTCTTCTAGTTCCCTTTCTACGGTTCCACCAGAGCTCTCACTTACATTTTAATCGAAATTATAATGTAATGAATTGCGAATTGCATCCAATAAGAGCCTGGAATATGCAAAATGTAAGAAGGCAAATAAAGAATATTATCAACAGTTGAATTAAGAAAAACTCTAAACGTAAAGTGAGTAATGATTGAAGTTTGCCCATTAATGCGTTCAATCGAATCAGACATAATCATATTCCAAAGGTTGAAATGGAAACATTTAACAAAAATTATCCTTATTGCAATCATATAGCATCAGATTGGATTTTACAACATAGTCAACTATCAAAATAGAAACTAGATGTAATAATCGTATTAAGCATAACCCTTCAACAAAAAATTCCTTTTATTCAGTTGTATGAAAAAAGTGCCTAGCAGAATTTAAACCTGCAACCTCTCGCTAAGGCCGTTTCATACCAATTAGACCATGGAGACTTTTATGGTGCATTTGCAGATATAACCCCCAGGAACTTTCTCTCATACAACTGACTAAATCGTCGCACATAATGAAGCTAATGATAAGCTAGAAATGTTTATAGGTCGCAGTATGGAAATCATAATAAATATATCCATGATGCGTCCTTGCCTTTACCCAGTTTTCAGGGTAAACAAACGGCCCGGTTCCGGCCCCACCCCTCCCCCTATTTTGAAAAGTTAAAAGAAAAGAAAAAAAGAAACAAATGATAGCCCAGAACGCCTCAAATGTAATTTTCGGGCGCCTAAAACACAAACATTTCGTGGGGGAATTCCCCCTGACCCCCTACTATAGTGTTATCTCGATCGGCCCTACTTTCGCCCCCCCCCCCCCCCCTCTTTTGCGTTC